CCACGGGATACTGTTCATCTCCACCGTCGACCTCCTCCAGCCTCCACGGGCTACTGTTCATCCACCGTCGACCTCCTGCAGCCTCCACGAGCTCATGTTCATCCAGTCTTCACCTCGCGCTACTCCACCGGCTACTGTTCAACCACTCTCTCCACGGGCTCCTGTTCAACCACCCCTCCAAAGGCTACTGTTCATCCACCCCTCCACCGTCTATTGTTCATCCAACCCTCCACGGGGTCGTCCTGTTCATCCAACCCTCCACGGGGTCCTGTTCATCCAGCCCCAACCGTCTCGATCGATCGGGGTCCTGTTCATCCAGAGGTAATGCCACGGGTCCTGTTCATCCACTCCCACCGCTCACTGTTCATCCAAACCCCCTTGCAACGCTCACTGTTTATCCCGAGGCAACATCGACCGGCTTCAGTTAGCAGCAGTAGCGAAGCAATCACTCGATCGCTCGGGTTCAGTAACGCATAGCCTGCAGTGCAATCGCTCAGATTCAGTTAGAGCACAACGCCTCGCTCGGGTTCAGTTAGAGCCAACGCCTCGCACACGCGCGCGTACGTGTACGAGAGAAATGCGCATCGCTCGGCCCCCGACCACCCACCATAACCGGGAACTCGCCGAAATTTTCCTCGCCCTCGCTTCTACCACGGTTTTTTCCGTCATGGACGGCCCAAAGAATGTCATGCAGCTGCGTCTCCGGCCCGCCCAGGACGAAAATCCCATTTTCTGTCATGATTTTTTATCATAGAAGTAGGATCCCACCACATCTATGATGATACCGGGTTTTGTCACAATTATCGTCATAGAAGTGTCATAAGTATGACAGAAAAAAATTTCGTTCGACCCAAAATGTCTCGGATGTGTCTTTTTTTTGTAGTGGGTGGGTGCCGCCGGACCTTCCTGGAGGGCGTCGGAGGCAACCCTTCCTCTCGCCTCGTCGCGTACCAGGGGAAACCCTTGGCAGCAGCGTCGTCATCGTCGCGGTCCTTCTTGGAGGTGTTGATTGGTATCAGTGCTTCGGAGCCTTGGAGCTTGGTGGGAGATCTTCGGTGGGCGCACTGTTCGTGAAGCTTCTTCATTTCCGTCGATCCGCCGTTCTCGGCATTTTTTCTGTTGTTGTTTCTCTTTCGTTTCTTTTGGGTGTGATTGTCCTGCTTCCGCTCCAGCACCTATCGTTGGCTGTATCGGTTGGTTGCTTTGTAATACAAAGCGGGGGAAAACCCTTTTTTGGAGGAATACCGGTCAACGTTGGCAGTTGAGGAATCTCAGCTCCCGCCAATGCCTTGAAGCTCGCCGCCTGCAGCGACCGCACCGTCGCCGCGCCCGTGGCCCGTCCGCCTCGGCCGCGCTAGCTAGCTGAATGGATGCGAGCAAGCTAGCTAGCTACGGCGAACCGAACTGAGGAGTCTGGCCGTGCGCCCGGCCGCCGCCCTGGCCTCCGCCTGCGGCCCCCTCGTCTGTCTGTCCGCCGGCCTCCGCTTTGGCCGTGTCTTCCTCGTTCGCACGTTGGTCGGCGGTCGATTTCAAATTGGCGTGAGGAAGAGGAAGAGGAAGAGGTATATTCAGAGAATATTCTTTTTTACGGGTTGATTATACGAGGTCTGTTCGGCCACTGGCCGCGCCAGCCCGTAAAACTGATTTTTCGTGAACTGTAAAAGCGATATAAGGGTCCCGATATAAAGGGTCTGCTGGAGATGCTCTAAATCTAGCTAGCTCATGAGCCGCGGCATTAGCCCCACGAAAACGATGTCCTCAAAAAAAAAAAGCTTGACCTTTTCGATTGCCATTGCCGTATCCAAACGTGTAACGAAAATTACTGCAGCTGCATGCATCCCACTCCCACCACCGTGTTTGCCTCGTACAAGTGCACGTTGCGTTGCTTTTCCAATCACATTGCCGTTGCGTTGCTAGGCGCAGACCTCGTCGGATAGAGCTGCATGCCCAGCGGAACAGCGGCGTCATCGCCGACGGCCATAGCCCACGACGCCGCTCTCACACGAAACACATCCACTGGCAAGTGGGCCCCCAAAGAGAAACGTTGAGCATACGGCGGCGGGGCGGGGGAGCCCCCCAAAATCCGGAGCGTTTTCGAAACCGCACCGCCCCCAAATGCGCCACATACCAAACGAAGCGAACGGCACGCACGAACGTGGTGCGACCCGAAACCGCCGGCCCGGTTTACTCTCGGGTTCCAATTCTATTTTCCACCTTCCCTCCACTCCCCCCTTCCCCGCTCCTTTCCCTCTCCTCCCTCGCCCGCTCATGGAGTCATCCGCCGCGGGCGGCGACCCGCGCCCGTCGCCGTCCGGGGGCGCCACCCCTCCGCCCCCGGCCCCGCCTCCCCCGCCTCCCAGCGGGTGGCTCGCGGGCCTCGTCTCCGGCGCCGGCCGGCTCCTCGCCTCCGTGCTCGGCCCCTCCCCGTCCTCCTCCCCGCGCGGCTCCGGCCCCGCCGCGTCGGGCGGGTCCGCCTCCTCCTCCCCGACCTCGCTCCGGCATCCCCGCGCGCGCGGCGAGGGCCTCCACGGCGGCGCCGGTGCTGGTACGCGAGCCCAGCCCCCTCCTCCCCGAATTACGAATTCTGAATTGCCGCCTTCCGCGCCGCGGTTCCCGTGCCGCATTAATTTTTCCGCCGAATTTTCCGCGTGCACCGATGCTTTGCCCGGTTTTTCGCCGTGATCTCGCAGGCATTGCGGCGAGCGAAATGGTTGGTTTCGCATTTCCAGTCGTCAATCTGTCGAACGATGAGTTCGCCGAGCGTTCCGCGGTAGGAATTATAGGACGGGGAATCTGATGCTTCGCGCTTCCATACTTCATACAGAGGCAAATGTTTGAATCCTCGGTTGTTTCCGCCATGCTAGTGCATTTTTAATCCTGTTCGACTGTCCTGTATGGCGAACCCCCCTCCTCAAATTACGAATTCCGAGTTGGCGCCCTCGGGGCCGTGGACGCCGTGCCGCATCAATTTCCGTCCAAATTTTGTAGCTAGCTCGATGTTTGGTCTAGTTTCTGTCGTGATCTCACAGAAATCGCGACGAAATGCGAGTGAAACCAAATGATTTCACATTTCCAGTCACATTTCCACAGTAGGCATTATAGAATGGGGAATGATGCTTCGTGCTTCCATGTTTCATATACGCGGTGAAGCAAATGTTCCATTACTCGGTTGTTTCGCCTTTCGGCCATGCTAGTGCATTTTCAACTCTGTTTGCAATGCTCCCTGATAAAAGTCAAGCACAGTTCACTATTATAAAAAGTGGCATCGGGTCGTGAGCTTAAGTGCACCGGCACTAAGTCACTGATTAACTGGTTTAGAAGACCAGTCTATGTATAACCCGTAGATTTCTGTGCTAACCTTTAATTTGCACGCATGTATTTTTTGAAGGCCTTTCAGTGTTTGCCAATAATAGGTCCTGAAAGGTCATGTCAGCGTTCATAGCTCTAATCCAAAATACGTTTGCATAATATTGAAGCCATCAAATGTTATCATCAATCACATAGTTTTGAAGCCTCTTAGTTAACCATATTTGTTGCATAATCTTCTAGCATTCTGTTCTCAATTTTGACAAAATTTAGAAAATGTGGATGAAAAGAGATTTACCCAAATGAGTTAGCACCCACTTTTTTTCTCCATCCTTTACTATTTTCACAAGACACACCTCACCTTCCCCTTTGGTGCCTAGTAATTTCTCAGCTCTGAACAATATATTTTTGCACTTGCATGTTTTGTGTTTATTCCATAAGAATTTCATGCAAATTCCTAAGTACTATTGTGTTTGGTCTGTGCTAGTTTTTTTTCCTGTAAATAAAGTGTTCTCCAGCTTAGTTGGCATTGCAGGATGGGAAATCTGATGGTTCGTGTTTTTTTAGGAATAGATGGTTCGTGCTTCGATACTTAATAGAGGAAAATATTTGATTCCTCAGTTGTTTCGGCCATGCTAGTGCATTTTCCAACCCTGTTCGAGTGTCTTCTATGGCAAACCCCACTCCTCAAATTACGAATTCCATGTTGGCGCCCTCAGGGCCATGGATGCCGTGCCACATCAATATCTGTCCAAAATTTCTGCATAGCTCAGTGTTTGGACCAGTTTCCGTCATAATCTCGCAGAAATCACAACCAAACACGAGTGAAACCAAACGAGTTCTCATTTCCAGTCATTAATGTGTTACACGATAAGTTCGTGCAGCGGTCCACACTAGGGATTACAGAACGGGATCTGATGCTTCGCGCTTCCATGTTTCATATCTGCGTAGAAGAAAATGTTCGATCATTCAGTCCTTTTGCCTTTCGGCCATGCTAGTTGCGTTTCAACTCTGTTCGCAATGCTCCCTAATAAAAGTCAATCAGTGTTCACTAATATAAAAACTGGCATTGGGACGTGAACTTTAGTGCACCGGCACTAAGTCACTAATTAACTAGTTTAGAAGACCAGTTTATGCAAAACCCATATTTCCCTGTGCTAAGCGTTTATTTGGATGCCTGCATATTTGGAGGCCTTTCATTGTTTACCAATAGTAATAAGTTGGTCTGGAAAGGCCATACTCATCCGAAATACTACTGCAGAATGTTGAAGCGAAGCCATCAAATGTCATAATCTATCACATAGTTTTGAAGCCTCTTAGTTTCCACATATTATTGCATAATCTTCTAGCATTCTGACAGAATTTAAAAAATGTGATTTAAAAGAGAATTACCTAAATGAGTTAGCATTCAGAGTTTTTCTCCATTATTTTCTATTTTCTGAAGATACACCTTATTTCCCCCCTTTGGTGCTTATTACTTTCTCAGCTCTGAACAACATATTTTCGCACTTGCATGTTTTGTGTTTATTCCATAAGATTTTCAGGCAAATTCCTAAGTACTCTGTGCTAGTTATTTTTCCTGTAAATAAAGTGTTCTCTAACTTAGTTGGCATTATATTCAGCAACTCATGTGAATACATTATTTGATGTGCCTACCTGGTGATTTCTTGTATTTCACAGATTTTGATGATTCTATGCGTGTCCCATCGAAAAACAATCAGTTAAACCAGGTATCCCACAACCCTTGTAATTTTTATCTTACCAATTACAGTCCCATTATTTTCTGAACAACCATTTCTCACTTGTAGGAGTGATTCCTCAGTTATCTAAGGACTTTCCATTGTGTCATTTTTTGTTGTTGCTTTTTCTAGAGTGAGGAGACTGACCTGAAAGACTATACGCAGGGATCCCTAGCAATTGTCTCAGAAATTGAGCCGAAAGATGCCATAATGCAGTTGCTTATGCAGGAAACCTACTCAAGGTATTATATATCTCTTGTTTATTTCCATTGATGTCCACCTGGAAAGTACTGTTTAATTTGCATTTTGCTTTGTGGTGCCAGCATAGGTCTATTCTTATTTCTGAATATATATTTAAACATGGGGCTTTATTTGGACTCTGTTTCACACTGACGAAACAAAATGAAGTGCAGTAATTTTCTAAAGTTAATGCACTCTGCATTTTGTGTACTACAATATGAAAAATTGGGCCTATGCAAAAGGATTGTTTGGTTTGACCGTTGTGAATTGACCATGCAACCCTAGCGCCCTTGTTTGAAGAATGGAATTGGTTGGTGCATCACTAGCTCGTCCTTCATAAGCATGAGTGAGGGATTAGGTCAACCCACCAATTTTGAGGGATCACCCAACGATGAATGAGGTGATTCCTTGATCCAAACAGTCCCAGTGTTTCCAGAGTACCTCTTTTCTCTTGTCTTGGCATTCGTGTAAACAATAGATCTAAGACTATCTGTGCCCAGCTCTCAAAATTTTATGTATATTGATTACACATGCACAATGTGTAGTTCGTTACACCATTAATAATGCTTCAGGGCAAGCAATTAGCGCATGAATCATTATTTACATACACGTATTGTATATTTCATTTTGGGAAATGGTGATGAATATCAGGACACACGTCGGATTGTGATGCACAATCGAATTGGTGTTAATTTTTTCCTTTGTTTCACAATTATGTTGTGTACTTGGCCTATCCATAGGCTTGTAAATAGCTTTTCTCTCATCAATGCATCAACAAAGAAAGCTTTTGTGTTTTCTCGAAAAAAATGTTTTTCTAACTATTTTGAAAGTTGCTGAATTGTGTACCCTCAAGAATCGGTTATGCTATGTTAAACAGTTAGTCCAGCCTGCATCCTGTGATAATAGCAACCAAAAGTTGTGACTGGAAACTCCTTTATCGTACAACATATACCTCTATTCTGGACAAACTAACGTCTGTTCATTGCTGAAGATTTAAACTACACTACTGATAGACTATTTCGAATCCTTAATTTGAATGTTAGGTCTGAGTGCAGTACACTAATAAAGATAATTCAAGAGCGGGTTGTGGATCCAGATTCAGGTGGAATTGCTGATGGTGAGATTGCTCTTCTGATCAGTTGGAAGGCTGACAACCAACCAACCCTTGGATATTCTTCATTTAGTCCAAATGTGTCCTTGCCTTCAACATCAAGCTTTCAAATCCATGGCCATGGTTTTGATAATAGTGCTGCTGCCGACACAGTTCCAATATTAACTCCTGCCAGTCGTAGCCTCTTCAATGATAATAAAGCTGACAATATTCAGCCTGTGAGTGCTCTTTGCTTGTAGGGAAATTAATTTGTCATGTGTATGGTATCTCAACTCTCAAGCCCATTCAGTTTTATGCCACCCCTGTTTGTCTAAGGGAACACTGGACTGCAGGCTTTCAAACGAAGGTACTCTGTTGTGCGGGATATCCCTGAGGACCTTCGAAGAGTCAGGACAAAGGCTGATGGAAATCCGATACACATCACAAAATTTAAGAAAGTTGATGTTGTTAGAAATTGTCCAGGTATAGATTACAAAAGAGCTTCTGCAATTCCTTGAGAAGTGCCGTTAAGCTTTTGCGTTACTAATCATCTACAGTTATCTGTGTACATATTTCTTCATCAGTTACAGTTTATTACTCCCTCCGTCCGGAAATACTTGTCGCGAAAATGGGTAAAAATAGATGCATCTAAAACTAAAATACGACTAGATACATCCACTTCTCCGACAAGTATTTCCGGACGGAGGGAGTACGAAAATCTCAATTCTGATAATATGTGTTTGAAGTCTTTTCAGGAGAAGGCAATAAACTGTTATCAGATGTTCCCCTTCTTGGGGCAAACAACTTAGCACATTCTAACATTGTCTCGAAAGTTGAAAGAGGTAATGAAAAATTGGATGTCCCTGGCAAACCTCCGGCAGTGCCAAATAAGGTACTAAAACCCCTCTAAATAAATGACTTTTGGGTGTCTTTTGTAGGGGTCAAATAACAAATGTAGTAATGCGTACCGACATGAAAGATAATGTCCACCTTTATCATAGGATCTGAAGAACGGCTTTCCTTTGAAGTTGGAACCTTTGGATGGTCTTATTCCCTTTGAGCAGAAGATGATGGACTTGTCACACCAAAAGCATAAGGGTTTGTGATCTTTGATTTGCTATGTTTGCTGGTTAGCAGTGAGCATGACGCCTAACATCTGATGCTGCTGTTGGTTGCTGTCGCGCAGATGCTGCAAAAGATGACTCAGGTTCTGTTTCAAAATTAATGTTCATGGGGGATATTGAGGCCACACCTAGGTATGCCATATTGCACCTCACCTATTTCGTTATTGCGGTGACTGTTCTTTGTCATTAAAACTTGGTATTTTCATCTAGACCGTTCTATTATTTGTTGGATCATAATTTATGCTTGCAGTTGCTATCATGTAAAGTTGTCAGCTGATACGGTGCTTATATAGCCAGATATCATCACCATTTTTTTACTGTATCAGCAATTCAGCAATGTCTCATTCATAAGGAGCCACCTCATCGATCACTTTTTGAACTGCAATTTCTACCATTAGCTCCCGTTTGTTATGTGATGTTAATAGGTTGCTAGGGAAGCAAGCTAATATGATTGTCCATTTCAGCTTGCAGCTACAAAACGGCTCCAAGAGCCGCAGAAGAAAGCAATCCAACTCTCCGAGGACAACTCCGAGGGCCGCAGATTCGCCCGCCATGGGCACACGCCGCAGACTCGGCGACGCCACGGTCAAGGCAGAGGTCAACCTGGTAGAGCAAACGACGCCGATAACGATGGACAAGCAAGATCCAGACTATGTCCCAGAGAGGAGGCCTGCTGGGAGGCTGAAGAAGGCGAAGTGACTTGTACTGGATCCTGTTCATGGGTACACTTCTGCAAACTAGCTTCACGCGGGTGGAGGAGCTTGTTACCGTTGATCCTGACTCTGAAGGTGGATGGTGGCAAGAAATCTGCAGTATGGGAGGATGATGAACTGACAGGGCGACAGTGCTGCCATGGAATTTCAGTGAGGACTGGTCTGAATCTCTTGTAGGGACGTATGCCTGCTGGACATGGGTTATTTAGGTGTTTAGAGGGAGAAGGGAACCTGCCATGTCACTAGTAGTATAACCAAGTGGTTTAGTCGACTAATGGCATAGGGTGCACTGTAAATCATAGGAATTCAGTTCCATGTGTGACACTGCATTTGTTCAGCCTTGAACTTCTCTCATGGCTGCAGCTGTTTTCTGACACGGTCTCATGCTCATGTGCTTGTTTTTAGCTTCGCTTTGCTCTGTCAGTACTGATAGAATAACCAGCACACAGGAGCGGCAGGTGGATCTTTTGGCGCGCCGGTGGTAGTTCAGATTCAGATCAAGTGGCGATCAGGCGCAGGTAGACAGATATTCCGAACGAAACGGCAGGCGGGAGGGCGTCGCGTCGCTGCTGGCAGTGGCGGACCAGATGGCGCTCGTGTCATCGTCATCCTTTGCCGCCCATCCCCGACTCCCCGTCCACCCGCTGCCGCCACCGTATCCCCAAAACTCCATCTCCCCTGACTGACACACTCCACGGTCCACGCCCCCATCCGTACGTCTGCTTCCTGAGCTCGCCGGCGATGGAGGCCACCGGCCGCGGGGTGTTCCCGAACAAGCCCACCCTCCCGCCGGGCCCCAAGAGGCGGGCGCCCCCGTCCCAGCAGACGCTCCTCCCGGCCTCCCCGCCGCCGCAGGCCCCCTCCTCGCTCCCGCTCGACTCCTTCCTCCTCCACCTCACCGCCGCGCCAGCCCCGGCCCCCGTCCCGCGCCGGACCCACCAGCAGACACCGCACCACCAGCACCACCACCCCACCCCGACCCCGGCGAGCTCCTTCCTCTCCCCGGCCTCGCAGGCGCTGGTGCTCGAGCTCTCCGCCACGCCGCTCCCGGCCCTCCCGGCCTTCCTCGCCGCCCGCCGCGACGACCTCCTGCGGGCCGCCGACCTGCCGTCCCTGCTCAAGGCGCTCGAGCTCTCCGGCCACTGGGAGTGGGCGCTGGCGCTGCTCCGCTGGGCGCGCGCCGAGGGGGCCGCCGAGGGCGCCGCGCCGCTCGAGATGGTCGTGCGCGCCCTCGGCCGCGAGGGCCGCCACGACGCCGTCTGCGCGCTGCTCGACGAAATGCCGCTGCCGCCCGGCGCCCGGCTCGACGTCCGCGCCTACACCACCGTGCTCCACGCGCTCTCCCGCGAGGGCCGCTACGACCGCGCGCTCCGGCTCTTCGACGAGCTCCGGCGCGAGGGCGTCGCGCCCACCCGCGTCACCTACAACGTCGTGCTCGACGTCTACGGCCGCATGGGCCGCTCCTGGCCGCGCGTCGTCGCGCTGCTCGACGAGATGAGGGCCGCGGGGGTGGAGCCCGACGGGTTCACCGCCAGCACCGTCATCGCCGCCGCGGGCCGGGACGGCCTCGTCGACGAGGCTGTCGCCTTCTTCGAGGACCTCAAGGCCCGCGGCCACGCCCCGTGCGTCGTCACCTACAATGCCCTCCTCCAGGTGTTTGGCAAGGCCGGGAACTACACGGAGGCTCTGCGAGTGATCAAGGAGATGGAGGACGCTGGCTGCAAGCCTGACGCCGTCACATACAATGAGCTCGCTGGGTCGTATGCCAGGGCTGGGTTCTACCAGGAGGCCGCCAAATGCCTCGACACCATGATCGACAAGGGGCTACTGCCCAACACGTTCACCTACAACACCATAATGACGGCGTATGGGAATGCTGGGAAGGTGGACGAGGCGCTGGCCCTGTTCGACCGGATGAAGAAGAATGGGTTTGTCCCATACACAAACACATACAATCTTGTCCTCGGCATGCTGGGGAAGAAATCAAGGTTCGCGGCGATGCTAGAGACGCTCGGGGAGATGTCGAGGAGCGGATGCACGCCGAACCGGGTGACATGGAACACGCTGCTGGCGGTCTGCGGGAAGCGAGGCATGGAGAGCTATGTCACTCGGGTGCTTGAGGGGATGAAGTCCTGCAGGGTTGAGCTGTGCCGAGACACCTACAACACATTGATATGTGCTTATGGCCGGTGTGGTTCGAGGGCCAACGCGTTCAAGATGTATGATGAAATGACCGCTGCCGGATTCGCCCCTTGCCTCACCACATACAATGCGTTGCTGAACGTGCTGTCTCGCCAAGGGGATTGGACCGCTGCGCGTTCCATCGTAAGCAAGATGAAGAGCGAGGGTTTCAAGCCCAACGACATGTCATACTCGTTGCTGCTCCAGTGCCACGCAAAGGGGGGCAATGCCGCGGGGATCGAGGCCATCGAGAAGGAAGTCTACCAAGGTACCATCTTCCCGAGCTGGGTCATTCTGAGAACCCTCGTGATCGCCAACTTCAAGTGCCGGCGGCTGGAGGGGATCGAGAGGGCGTTCCAGGAGGTGAAGACCCGGGGTCACAAACCGGACCTCGTCATCCTCAACTCCATGCTGTCAATATATGCGAAGAATGGGATGTACAGCAAGGCAATGGAGATGTTCGAGTCGATCGAGCAGTCCGGTCTGAGCCCGGACCTGATCACCTACAACAGCCTGATGGACATGTACGCCAAGAGCAACGAGCCCTGGGAGGCGGAGAAGATCCTGAAGCGGCTCAGGACCTCCCAGTCCCAGCAGCAGCAGCAGCTGAAACCCGACGTGGTGTCGTACAACACGGTCATCAACGGGTTCTGCAAGGAGGGGCTGATCAAGGAGGCCCAGAGGGTGCTGTCGGAGATGATCGCCGACGGCGTGGCCCCCTGCGTGATCACCTACCACACGCTGGTCGGAGGGTACGCGAGCCGGGAGATGTTCGCGGAGGCGAGGGAGGTGGTCGGGTACATGATCCAGCGCAAGCTGAGGCCCATGGAGCTGACCTACAAGCGGGTGGTGGACAGCTACTGCAGGGCCAAGCGGTATGAGGAGGCCCGCGACTTCCTCGCCGTGGTCGCGGAGACCGACCCGAAATCCGACCAGAAGCTGCTGGGCGCGCTCGCGGCCCGCGTGGAGAGCGCCCAGTTCGGGAGATGAGACGGTGACCAAGGTGCTTGTTCATAGAGCTGTGTTGTTGCGTGCGCGCGCAACGCCAATCGCTACCGTCGCTGCGACCCGCAGATGAATCCTAACTGGTTACGCGCGCAACGCCAATCGCTACCGTCGCTGCGACCCGCCGATGCGAGTGGCCGTGGCCCACCTGGTCCCATGCAATTATCCCTCGTCTTATTTTTTCACCGGCATACAGTTTGAATACAGTCAAATCGTATCTGTACCATGCCTGCCCATACCTACATCGTACCCGCTCGCTCTTTTCTTTCTCTCCACACCCACGCCCGTACTCTCTCTCCATTAATCTCATCTCTCTCTCTCTCTCTCTCTCTCCATTATCTCAAGATCCATCCAGCCCTTCCTCCTCCACGGCCGGCCACCCTCCCGATCTGGAGGTCTCCGACCAGATCATTCCCCTCCCCACCACGGCATGCGGCATGGAGTCCCGGGATCGCTCGCCGTCAACCAATGCTATGCGGATCTGGCGAGTCCTAACTCACCAAGATCCCATGACGGACAAGGTTTGTTGCGCCTCCTCCTGAAGCTGTCGAGGACCATGAACGCCACTTCCTCTCACCGGCTCAGCACCAACACTTTCACTACCCGCAGGTAATCCCCCTGTCCCCCGCTCCAAATCCAGGAGCTGGTCGGCTTCCTCTGGTCAAGTCCGCCTCAACGAGTTGGGATTGCTTCTTCCTGATTGCCCATGGATTTGTAATGCAATTTGATAAGGATTTATTTGTAGGTGTACAAAATTGCTTGTTCCCGGATGGATATAGTAGCACATGGATCCATCACCTTTGGTCTTGTCTGGTGTTCTCCCGTGCGTGACGAATTTCGAAGGTGCGGGTGTTCTCCAGTTATTCTCCTATTTATTGTCTTTCTTGCTTGTGATTTGATTTTCTTAACTTTCCTAATTTAAGGATGAAACAGAGGCTGAGCTGGCCCTCTCCTCCTCTCATGCCGACATCGGCATATTGCCCTGCTTCTTCCACGGCTTGATGAACCTACCTTCGCCAGCTTGATTGATTTTAATCGAGAGAAAACTAGTTCGATTGAGTTTTATCTTAAAAAGGCTAGTCATCGCCTGATGGCCATTGTATAGATAAAATATGCTGCAGTTTATTCTTCCTGTACTACTGCAATAAGGCAACGTTTCATCACTATTCAGTTCTATGCAATTCTCTTTCTGTTTTTTGCTCTGGTTCATGAGCAGTAAATTTTAAAGTTTCCAACATACAGTTTGCAATATTATGGGCAGAATTGTACAAGAACTTTTTGGACGTCTCCATCGTACTTTGCCAAAATTTGTCAACGGACTTTATAGAGTTTAACAGAGAGTTGTTTTTACAATATTATGGGCAGAATTGTACATGAGCTTTTTGGATGTCTCCATCGCACTTTGCCGAAATTCGACGAAGGACTTCATAGTTTAACAAATAGTTGTTTTTGCAAAGCAGGTTCTTTGAATAAATTGCAAAGGACTTTATATCCAATTTGCTTTTATTTTTTGCTCTAGGTCCAAATTTTGGAGTTTCCAACATAGATTGCAATATTTTGGGCTGAATTGTACAAGCACTTTCTGAATGTCTCCATCGCACTTTGCCGAAACTGTTGAAGGACTTTATGTTTTAAATTTTTCATCAAAACCTGAAGAATTGGTCCAGAGATTATAACAAGTTCTTCATGTTTTGTTGATAAAGGTCGAAAGAAGCTCTATTAAAGTTCTTCAACTTTCCATAGCAAAGTTCAGATCACACCTTACAAAATTTGGTTCTTGTTTATACTTATTTCCCCGCAAAAAAAGTAATTAATACATTTTTATTCGTCACTTGCCTAGAGCCCACTGCTCCACTGCCCTCTCTCGTGTTCGAAATTTGAATCCGAAAAGTATGTACAGTCCATGGTACACGGTGTCAGGAATCTATAGCACATGGTCCAACATAGTGACAGAGGAATCCATAGGCCCGGTCCCGCATCTGTTGCAATACGGTCTGATATACATGCCCTAGACTATCATGTGGCAGTGGAATACCATGCATGGCTGACAACTTGGTGGGCCACGCTGATGGGATTGCATGCTGGATGTGCGGCACAGATACACGTTGCGCGCGCAGCTAGTTAGACAAAATCCACGTCCCGTGTTCTGTGGCAGATATGTTGGGTGATTTCCAAGTTTTGACAGGGCAGGGGAGCGTAGCATATTTACTTGTGAAGAGGATAAGATAGTGCTGCAAAATGGCACAGGACAGAAAAAGTTTTCCTCGCATTCTTACAAAGTTATTACTATGAAAGTCGCATTCGGCTGTACAGTTGTTAGCCTATGTAAGAGTCTGAATTTTGAGGTGCTTCGGACGTATCGTTTGGTTTTGCGGAATATGTACATGAAGCAGCAAGGTTGAGCTGCTCCCCAAATTCTACTGTGCATCATTCTCACTTGCTGAAGCCTGAAGGCAACCTGTGCAGTAGCTGTATCTGAACCGTCGGTGCAATGTTTAGGGAGATCAAACCCTGTCATGTCACTCACTAGTCACTTGGCTACACACTTGCACGCTGTCAATTCAGTCGCCTGGCTGTGAGTTTGTCACAGATCTTATTCTGGGTGATTTCCAGGTTTTGTCATTCTCAAGCGTCTGTATGTCTGAGTTGCTCCAGATGATGTAGTATCATTTGATATGGAGCTGGTTTCTGAAGTCCAGGGCATCCTCAGTTGCTGAAGCCGGAAGTCTAAATGTGCGGCAGGAGTAGCCAATCCTGCTTTTCGATTACGGCCCCTCACCTCCATCCGTGCATAATCTTTGGCCACACACTTGCACAAGCTGTCAACTTCCTTGGCTACACACATTCAGTGTCAGGTCACACTTGTAGGCTAGTAGTACTTGGACAGTTCCTCGGTACTCGCGCCCACGCTGCTACTCTGCTCTGCTCTGCCCCGTGGTCACGTGCAGAGCCGGCGCTCTTAAGGCAGTGGTGGCCGTCGATCGCCCTGTCCGTTCTACCCCTCGATCGATCTCGTTCTACCCGGCGGCCGACGGCGACACGAGGGAGGGCGCCACACGTTCTGGGTGCCTCCACGGCTCTGGCTGGAGGGAGGCTGGTCTCCGTCGCATGGCCAGGGCCGGTGTCAGGTCACTCGCTCGGCTACACTGCACACGGTTGTACTACACTGGTTGGACGGTTGCTCGGTGCTCTTGTCCGCTCCACCATGCTACCCTAGCTTCATGCATGATTTGAATGAAACTAACCCGGATTGACGCTGTTTTTAGCATAACTGCCGTGGTGTTATTTTTGTGCAGAAATAAAAGTTTTCGGAATGACCTGAAATTCCACGAAAGTTATTTTTGGAATTAATAAAAAATACAGGCGAAAGAATCAAGGCCAGTGGGGCCACACCTTATCCACGAGGGTGGGGGGCGCGCCCCCTGCCTCGTGGCCCCCCTGGTGCTCCACCGACCTCAACTCCAACTCCATATATTCATGTTCGGGGAGAAAAAAATAAGAGAGGAGGATTCATCGCGTTTTACGATACGGAGCCACCGCCAAGCCCTAAACCCTCTCAAGAGGGCTGATCCGGAGTCCGTTCGGGGCTCCGGAGAGGGGAATCCGTCGCCGTCGTCATCATCAACCATCCTCCATCACCAATTTCATTATGCTCACCGCCGTGCGTGAGTAATTCCATCATAGGCTTGCTGGACGGTGATGGGTTGGATGAGATTTACCATGTAATCAAGTTAGTTTTGTTAGGGCTTGATCCCTAGTATCCACTATGTTTTGAGATTGATCTTGCTATGACTTTGCTATGCTTAATGCTTGTCACTAGGGCCCGAGTGCCATGATTTCAGATCTGAACCTATTATGTTTTCATGAACATATATGCGTTCTTGATCCTATCTTGCAAGTCCATAGTAACCTATTATGTGTTATGATCCGACAACCCCGAAGTGACAATAATCGGGATACTTCTCGGTGATGACCGTAGTTTGAGGAGTTCATGTATTCACTAAGTGTTAATGTTTTGGTCCGGTACTCTATTAAAAGGAGGCCTTAATATCCCTTAGTTTCCATAAGGACCTCGCTGCCACGGGAGGGTAGGACAAAAGATGTCATGCAAGTTCTTTTCCATGAGCACGTATGATTATATTCGGAATACATGCCTACATTACATTGATGAACTGGAGCTAGTTCTGTGTCACCCTATGTTGTAACTATTACATGAGGAATCGCATCCGACATAATTATCCATCACCTATCCAATGCCTACGAGCTTTTCACATATTTTTCTTTGCTTAGTTACTTTGCCGTTTCCACTGTTACAATTACTACAAAACTGCTACTATTATTTTTGCTACCGTTACCGTTACTTCCATACTACTTTGCTACTAAATACTTTGCTGCAGATACTAAGTTATCCAGGTGTGGTTAAATTGACAACTCAACTGCTAATACTTGAGAATATTCTTTGGCTTCCCTTGTGTCGAATCAATAAATTTGGGTTGAATACTCTACCCTCGAAAACTGTTGCGATCCCCTATACTTGTGGGTTATCAATCATCTCATACAATAACATATATCACATCATGTCTTGACCATATCACATCACAACATGTCGTGCAAAAACAAGTTAGGCGTCCTCTATGTTGTTGTTGCAAGTTTTACATGGCTGCTACGGGCTTCTAGCAAGAACCGTTCTTATCTACACATCAAACCACAATGGTGTTTCGTCAAGTTTGTTGTTTTAACCTTCTTTAAGGACCGGCCGCAGTCAAATTCAATTCAACTAAAGTAGGAGAAACAGACACTCGCCAGCCACCTTTATGCAAAACTAGTTGCATGTCTGTAGGTGGAACCGGTCTCATGTGCGTGGACATGTAAGGTTGGTCCAGGCCGCTTCATCCCACAATACCGTCGAATCAAAATAAGACGTTGGTGGTAAGCAGTATGACTATCACCGCCCACAATGCTTTGTGTTCTACTCGTGCATATCA